ATCAATACTAGTAAGTATTGTTTTCTTTTATTCTTCAAATAAAATTTTTAATTATTTTAACAAAAGTTTATAGAAAAGTTAGATTTTCTTTAATTTGTTCATTGTTGCACATTTTATACCCTCTCCCTACTTCCCCCCAGTTCACTTTTTTAAAAAAAAATATTCATTCACTGTTGCACAATTACCTCCCTTCCCCCTCAAGTCCTCTTTGCTATTATACATCTAATGCCTAATCATATATTCCTTTTTAAACAGTTCTTTCATCTGTTCCAATGCAGTGTTCATTATTTATCCTCTTAGTTTCTCCCCAACCCCCATGTCAGTCCTGTTTTTTATAACAGTGGTGTTATGCGGTATTTATCCTTTTGTGGCTGAGATACTTAACTCAGCATAATGTCTTCAAGGGTCATCCATGTTGTATAATATTTTGAGTTCCTTGTTTTTCAGTGCTGTGTAGTATTCCATTGTTTTTCTATCCATTCATTTGTTGATGGGTACTTGGGTTGCTTCCATCTCTTAGCCATTGTGAATAATGTAGCAGTAAACATGGGTGTGCATATATCTGCTTGGGTGGCAGCTCAGATTTCTTTAGGGTATATTCCCTGTAGAAGAGTTGCTGGGTCAAATGGTATTTCTGTTTCCAATTTTTTGAGAAAGTGCCATACCGCCTTCCATAGTGGTTATACCATTTTACACTCCCACCAACAGTGAATAAGGGCTCCAGTTTCTTCACAAACCTCACCAGCATTTGTTGTTTGGTGCACTCCTGAACTTGGCTATTGTTACTGGGATGAGGTGATAGCTCATAGTGGTTTTTATTTCCATCTCTTTGAAAGCTAGGGATTTTGAACATTTCTTCATGTGTTTGTCATCTGAATGTCTTCTCTGGTGAAGTATCTATTCATATCCTGTACCCAGTTTGTGGTTGGGTTTTTAACCATTTTCTTGTTTAGGTGCTGGAGTATTCTATAAATTTTATATATGAGTCCTTTATTAGGTATGTCTTTGCCAAATACTTTTCCCCAGTCTGTGGCTTTCCTTTTTACCCTGTTGGAGAAGTTTTCTGATGTATATAGGGACTTGGTTCTTAAAAGGTCACATTCATCTGTTGTTGTTTTTTTCTATCCTGGTTGTAGGTATAAGAATTGTTCTTATGTGAGAAGTTTTTGTTTTCTTTTGGCAATTCTAATGTATAGTTCAAGATCTCTTGAGTACCACTGAGTTGGAGCAGGTTTTCAAAGGCTTAAAATTACACAGAAGATTGTCCATCCCTGTCCCTCCGAGAAGCTGGTGAATTTGAAATCTGGATCTACTTACTGCCATAGACACAAAACAAGCATACTAATGCAGCCTGTGTAATGAAATGTGTGTAGACTTTTGGATGGAAACCGATTTACTTGGTAAACTTATTTTAACTACACATACACACAAAGATGGTAGCAGCTTGAAGCACAAATGGTGCTACTACTAGCCAGAGGTTGATAGTTCAAACCCACCCAAAGGCATCTCAGAAAAGAAAGGCCTAGAAGTATGCTTCCAAATGTTCAAAAACCCTGTGGAGAAGTTGTGCACAAGTGCTGGGTCATTTTGAGTCAGAATAGACTCAATGCAACCTATAATAAGAAACAACTTTAAAACCAGAAAATGTATGTAGAAACTAATGCTCCAAGAGCCAGATATTTGTTTCTGCACTATAGTTGACAATTTCCTACACTGGTATTTTGGAGAGAAGAAAAATTACCTGACTTGTTTTATGGGAAAAAACACTGAACAGGTCTGACCTCATTTCAATTGAGGTTGTAAATAAGGTAACTGTTGGTTTCACTGGAAGATACAGCTCTATTTTATTCATATCTGGATGCAAATATATCCCAGGATGCCTGTCCCTGAGCCTTTGCTATTCTCAATGATAGCTATGCTCCCTGCTTTAATGTATTTTGTTATGAAAATAAGTTATATCCTGTGATATACAGCAGATCCCTTATTAGAAAAAGACAGAATGGTGAAAGGTAAGAGGAAGATCCTCAACAGGACGGACCGACAGAGTTTTACAATGGGAGAATTTAAAGATGGTACAGGAGAAGGCAGGGTTCAGTTTTTTTGTTCATTGAGTCTCTGAGTGGTAGGTGACTTGGCTTTTTCTTTTTCTTGTTGGTATTCTTGTGTGGTATACCATCAGGTCAGAACCAATCTATAGTTCACCCTCCAGCAGGTTTTCAAAGGGAGGAAATTGCCCATCTTTGTCCCTTGGAGCAGCTAGTGGATTTGAACCACCAGCTTTTGAAACTGCAGCGCAGCTTCTTACCAGTAAACCATAAGATTTTTAGAGTGGCAGCTGACTTGATGGCACCTTACAACATAAAAAGACAGGTTTCCTATCAATTCACCTTTGTCTTCAGTCTAACAGATCTAGAGGTAACAAAATACACTCTACCAAAGTGGTGCTTTTGAACTGTTTCACAGCCATAAAGTAGACAAAATGGGAATATAATGCACAGGATAATTACTAAATAATAAAAAAGTAGATTAACTCCAAAATCTGAAACAAGGCAAGATAATCTTTGAAAGGCAGAGATGTATTAAACATTAGCTTACCAAATCCCCAAACATAGGAATTTGAATTATAAGAGAGAAGCCCCCTTAAAAAGCAATTGCAAGAAAACAAAGATTCTGTGCAACAATAAAAAAATATTTTTAAAAAGAAAAGCAAACTGGAGGTGGGGTAGGGAGGAAAATGTGCAAGAATGGATGAATGGAAATCCAAGTTTTCTGTAAACTTTGATTAAAATACCAAATTTTTTTTTTCATTAAAATAGCAATTTTTTTTCTAAAGAAAACAAAGATTCTCACTACTGTGCCAATTGGCTGCATCATGATGGATAGAGAAAAGATTGTTAACAATTTCAGCTTGCTTGGTTCCACAGTCATCACTAGAGGGACCAGTAGTCAGGAAATCAAAAAGACTAATTGCATTGGGAAAACTGTCAGAGACTTCTCCAGAGTGCTGAAGAGCAATTATGTCAGTCTGGAGACTAAAGTGCATCTGATCTAAGCCATGGTCTTTGTAATTACTTGCTATGCATCAGAGAGCTGGACAATGAATAAGGATGACAGAATTAATGCCTTTGAGTTGTGCTGAAGAAGAGTATTGAACATACCATGGACCACCAAGAGAACAAAGAGGTCTGTTGAGAGGGTGAAACCAGGCTGCTCCTTGGAGGCAAGGATTTTGAAGCTTTGTCTCACATATTTTGAGCACGCGGCCAGGAAGGACTGGTACTTGGAGAAGGATATCATGCTTGGAAAGGTGGAGGGACAGCACAGGAGAGAAAGATCCCAGATGAGATGGATTGACACAGTAACTGGGGTAATGGGAGTATGTGTGTCAGAGTGAGAGAGATTGGCTGAGGGTAGAACAAGGTTCAAAGCTGTTGTACATATAGGGTCGCTATGAGTCGCAGGTGATTAGATGGCACATAACAACAACAACTCTGTTTAAAGTAGCATACTCACCCTTTCCATTGTATCATTTACAAAACATAACTGAAATTAATTTTTTTTTTATGAAAGGCATTGTTTATTTTCCGTCAACCTTATTTCCACTTTTTAAAAGACAGTTTAAGACCATTCCGTGGTGGTACCCACCCACTCAGTGGCCTGAGCAGTGGGGGCTGCAGACCAGTCTTCAGTTGCAGGCTGAGCACTCCAGTCTTCAGTAGGGAACTGCTGAATCGGCACAGAGGGCACCTGGACGCCTTCGGAAATTAATTTTCTAAGGTTATTTCCAAATTCTGACTGGTCCCATACTAATTTAATAAAAGTGGGTGGTTACTTTCTGGCTCCCCCCTCCTTTTTGAGGAGTAGCAGAGTGGAACAAAGAACAATAAGGGCTTTGAAGCCAGACATCCTGGATTCAAACCTTGGCTCTTCTACTTATTATAGAATCATTGATAAGTTAGCAATTTCTATGTGCTTCAAGTTTCTTAATTTTTTACCTTCTATAAAATGGGGTGAGAGTGTTGTGAAGAATATCAGTGGTTTAGCATGCAGTGTTTCCATTGCATATACTTTCAAAGACAAATGATTCTCTCTTACCTAAAAACAGGTTTTTCAAACTACTTGATTGAAAATTCAGTGTATTGTATCAAAAGATTTATCATTTCAGTAGAAAAGACGTTTAGAAGTACTAAATGAGATTGTTGTTGTTGATTTGTTCACCCTATGAACAAAAGGCCTGAAGTCTTTCTATAACTATCCTCATTTATCAAAGTTCAAAGTTTCCAGAGGCATGTTGTTTAGGAAGTAAAAGCCACTCCTGCTTTCAAAAATGAGATTAGGGAAAGATGTTTGTGTTGCTCTGAGGTAGAAAGTTACCTTGTTTTATCTTTCAAGTAGCTTTCCTCCTGGGATGTTTAGCCTGATGGTCAGATAAGAGTCTGAAGGCTTAACAACTTAGGAAATTTTCAAAGTTTCAGTAGTTCATATACAAATGGGGAAAGACTTTCCTCAGTACTCCTGCCATTTCTGCTCTTTGGTCTACTTGGGCAGACAGGTCCCAGTACTGAACATCTGTCATTTGTGAGCTACCACTGTGGTTAAGAACAAAGGTGTCAATGCCTCTGCTAATAAAGAAATCATTGGCACTCTTCCTTATATGTAAAATCTGGATACTTTTTGTTGTCTCCTTGGGCTCTGGTGGACCAGGATAGGGCAAGTTTCTACACTGCTATCTGAAAGGTCACCAGTTCAAACCCAACATCTTCTAAATATGTTATTTCTAGCTTTTCAAGCATTTAGTCTCTTAGCCTGCTTTTTAAAGGACCATTAGCCAGCCATTATCAAGAAGTAAATACTCTTTATCAAGATAGCCATCACTTAAGTAATCTTTTACAAATTCCTCATAAACTGTTAGAAAGCTAGCATAAATAATTGGCTCAGTTACAACAGTATGAACTAGTGATTTAGTTTGAAGAATTTTAAAGCAAGCCAAGTAATTGTATAAAATTTAAATTTTATGACCATGTTTGGACCTTTTTACATTTAGCACAATGGAAATGTTCATATTCATTTTTTTCCCCAAAGGAAAAATATTAAATCACCACTATGTTGCACAGTAGAATAAAAAACGAGAGTTCAGGTGCGTATTCAAGTTTCCACAGAATGCAAATAACAGACATGATATTACTTGCAAAATCTGACATTATCAACACGATTTGGAGTATCTCAGACTTCACCTAGAAATTCAGTTGCCATTCGGATAAAGAAACCCTCCACCTAATCACACTTTTTAGAAGTCTCGGCCCCACCATAACTTCCTGAAGACAGGAAAGGAACTGCTGTCTTGTGATCAGACTCCAGATGTTTCTGGCAGTTTTGTAATCAGTAAGGAAAAAAAACGGTGACTGATTCTATGTGTCAATCAACTGTAGACGGCTGATCTGATTAGAAGCTTTGACAAATGCCTGGTGGCGATTGCAAATAACGGCCAGGCATATTGGGATGATACAGTAGCCCACGGTTTTGGGGTCAGCTCTTGTACAAGAATAAAGGAACAAAAACATCTGTAGGTAAGGTATCAGAAAAATAATCGTCCACAACCAAAAGGGCAAGGAGAGTAACCGGACTTTCAAGGAGTGTGTCCACGTGGTTCCTTCCCGCGGCTCCTCGGGGTGCTGCTGAATGTGTTCCAAGGCCAGCCTGTTGTAAGTCTCATTGATTTCAAAAACATAGTAGAAAGCGGCGGCACTTGCTAACAGATACAGCCCCACTCCAATCCATCCCATCCGCTGACGGAAGTTCATCATTCTCCATGCTCTGTGCCTTCAAATTTAAGGAAGAAGTCGTTAAGATTTATCCCAAAGGTACTGACTTTATGTCCAACAAGGTTTAAGATACAAGACTAACATTTAAAATTAACATGGAAGACTAACATATTTAAGATTTAAAACAAGTACATTTACATTTATTAAGAAATGTAAACCACTTACAGGATATTTTATGTAACAGAAGTAAAAACCACTGGTTTCTGTATGTATATATTCTGCTTTTTACGTGAATTCCAGAGAATAAATCATGACATTTGCTTAAGCCGGTCCAGTACAGTTCCTTAAGCTGGAGTTAAATTTCCTACGGAACATTGCACTCTTAGACGTAAAAATTTGGCTTTACAAGTCAAACCCATAACCACGTCCCCCAAAGTATGACAGTCACTCTAAAGCACTTACAGTGGTCCTGGAAATCTTCCTGTCCCCACGGCAAGCGTTACAGAGTCACTCAGTTCTGCATAATCGGGTGCCTTGGGCATTTCAGGGAAAGCCACCATAAAAGAGATCTCATGGGTCACCCAGCCTGGAGAAGGGTGAGCGCGGCCGGCCTGGGGAAGAAGCTAA